TACTTACTCCTTTAAAAAAACCAATCAGCAGTGTTCCCCTAGGCAGTTTCGTTATTTAGATTTAATTGGTCAATATACAACCGATATTCGTCATGTTTCTGGTAAGGACAACATAGTGGCCGATGCGCTTTCACGTGTTGAAGAGGTGGAAAAATCGCTGGATATGGAAGCCCTAGCAGCAAGCCAAAAGGACGACGAAGAACTACTTCGATTCCTTAAGGAAGGAGTGACTTCCCTAGATCTGAAACCAATGCAATTACCAAATAGCAATATTACTCTAATGTGCGATGTTTCAGCAAACTTAGTTCGACCGTTCATTCCCAGGCAATTTCGGAAGTTAGCTTTCAACACGGTACATCGACTAGCCCATCCTGGAGTCAAGGCTACAATTAAATTGGTCACCCAACGCTTCGTTTGGCCTTCCATTAAGAAGGATTGCAGATTATGGGCCCAAAGCTGTCTGGAGTGCCAGAAATCAAAAGTTAGTCGACATGTATCTACTACACCTGGGGTATTCGAACTACCGTCTCAAAGGTTCGATCATGTCCATATGGACATAGTAGTAATGCCAATGTCGGAGAACTGCAGGTACTGCTTAACTTGCGTCGACCGGTTTTCTAGATGGCCTGAAGCAATTCCGTTAGAAAACCAAGAAGCTATCACCGTTGCAAGAGCATTTTATACGCATTGGATTGCAAGATTTGGAACGCCACTCCGGATAACGACAGACCAAGGAAGGCAGTTTGAGTCTCATCTATTCAAACAACTGAACAACCTCCTAGGCACGCAACATTTTAAAACGACAGCGTACCATCCTGCAGCAAACGGCATGGTGGAAAGGTTCCACAGGCAGTTTAAGGCTGCTATCAAGTGCCATGACAACCAACGCTGGACGGAAACCTTGCCAACCGTCATGTTAGGAATTCGCTCCTCATGGAAACAGGATCTGAAAGCTACCACAGCGGAAATGGTTTATGGACAATCATTACGACTTCCTGGAGAATTCTTGAATCGATCCACCACAGTAAGCGGCGAGGAAGAATTCGTACAATCGCTACGTCAGCAAATGGAACAGTTGCGTCCTGTGAGCGGCACAAGACATGGAAAAAAAGCAACATTCGTTTTCAAAGCTCTAGAGACCTGCGAATACGTCTTTGTTCGCCGCGACGGTCCAAAAGGACCCTGCCAACAGCCATACGAAGGTCCCTATAAAGTACTTTCTAAGGCACCAAAGAAGTTCATGGTCGATTTGGGAGGACGCCAAATACCAATTTCTATTGATCGCCTGAAACCAGCTTACGTTTTGGCTGACAACCTGCAAGATGACGACCCTGGAGAAAGCGAAATTAGACCTGTTAAACAACCCACGCCAGTTCATGAAAACAGATGTACAACCGAAGAACGTACTAAATCAGGTCGGCGAGTTCGATTTCCTGACCGCTACCAAGGTTCATTTTCGTGACTTTATCACTGGCAGGGGGGGTTCTGTAGCGACCAAAATAAATTAGAGCACCCTGTATATATAATGTAGTTTTGTAAATATGTAAGTCTTTTGTATGATATTCCTTTTCTGTGTAAATATTTCTCAACATTATCTTCTAAAGCTTTTGTATTCTATCCATCTGTTCCAATAACTTTTATTACTGTACTTTCCTATAATCCCTATTAACATTTCAACTTCGCGTACTAACCGCATGACGTCTGTACTTTGCTATCCGTCCTAATTGCTATTTTATGAGGGGTTTCTTCGGTGATTTGGGTTCAACAACTTAATTCTATATTTTCTATCTTCAGCAGTTTTCAAATCATATTTTCTTACTATTGGTTCCCTTCTTTTATCTACAACCCTTAGCTCCACCTTCATAACTTTCCTAAATTATTCAAATTCTATATTCTTCAGTTCTAAATCAACCTTCGTTCTACTCTTCTTAGTCTCTAACAGTTGTCAAAATAAATATTAGTTTTACCAGACTTTATTATTTTACTATTGAACACGCCAAGAACCAAA